AGGTGAGCATTGCGAATATATATTAACCACACAGCAACTTTCAGAAAAACGGAAGCCTTATTTGTGTCGTTTCAGCCCCAACACTCAGGGATGCAAGGTCTCATCTTGCGATAACGTATCAGACTCAATCACTGCAGGTACCCAGGGGCATAACAGCTCATTCAACAAGGAGCGCCGCAACATCGGCAGCGTGGGCCACACAGGCACCAATAACTGAAATTTGTCAAGCCACAACCTGGGCCTCTCCATCGCCATTCATCAGGCATTATAAAATAGATGTGTTTGCATCCGCTGAGGCCTCCTTTGGCAGAAGAGTTCTGCAATGGGTCCACAGGGACCAGGAGGGGTTTCCAGGCCAGATGGAGTCCCTCCTGTAGGACAGGCCAAGCTTTGGTATGTCCCACTGCTGCATGCTCTGAACAGCTCATGGGAGAAAGGGCGTTGGTACTTACCTGACACGCCCATTCTCTTTGAGCTGTGAAGAGCATCCATCCCCACCCTTTTTCCATCTGTTGGGGTCCTGTTTCGGCCAACGAATTTGTTAGGGCATTGAGGACGAGGGCGTTTATTTCTCTCATCTTCCCCAAAACTGGGGAATGCTGGGGAGGAGTCCCGTGGAGGAGGAGGAGCGTTCCACAAATTAAGCCCAGCCTAGACATGCAGAGACTGAAACACCTCCCACTACTGGATGCTCTTCACAGCTCAAAGAGAGCAGGTGTGTCAGGTAAGTACCAACACACTTTTTAAAAATTCTACTCAGATATCGATTATGCATATAGGCCAGAAAACTCTAGAAACTTTAATTATAAGTCATTACATGAAAAGTCTGCTTCTGTCTGCTAGCCTGTAATATTTAGAAAACCAAGATGAATGAGTCAAGACTTTAATTCTCAGTTAAAATTATTTCCTGAACCATTTCTTAAATGATTTCGCATCTCTTCAGGAGGATGGGATAAGTATTAGCAGTTGTACTAAAAATTGCATTGTCATAGCTAAATCACCTACTTACTAAATTATTTTATCCATTCATGTGTGTATCTTGCAAGAGACAAGGGAGAAGAGCATCAAACAAAGACATAATGTGGCTTATTTACTTTTTATCCTTCGTGAGGTACACATTTTCCCACTGTGATTAATAAACCATAATTTCTTTCTTGTAATATCGTCCAGCATGCAAAAGCAAAACAGCAACTTTGAATTTTCAGTAGTTTGTTGTGGCTTATTATATAGAATATTTGAATAGTTCAATTCAATTTAGGGAGAGTCAATTTACAATGCTCTTATCTCCTGTCAAGTGAGGCACCATCTCATTCTGGGGGACTTCTATTAAGTGCTCCTAACTGCATTAGCCTTCAGAAATAAAAATAATAACCATAATGATTCTTTTTTTTTTTACCTTAGTCTGACATGAAACACAGTTCATGGCTCTTCATTGTTACTAAACCCATGAATACTTTAGCATTTACAAAGATATGAAAAGGTTCTTTTCCCATCAAAGACACAACAAACAGTAACAAATAATTATTGTTGTCCAAATGTTCCTGAATGTAAACCTGCTAAAAACATTGCACTTTCTATCTCAGAGAGTATTGCTAGTATTCTTATCACTGTAACAATTCTAAGTGCATCAATATCAGGGGAAAGCAAGTATTCTGCCATGGAATGAGAGGAAAAATAGGAATTAAGCCTAATAAAGTTATAATAAGAAGCATCATTCATTGCTTACATGTGAACTGATTATTCATCCTGTAGGATCAAGGTGACAGAGGCGGCTCTATGACATTTTAAAGGATTGTTCCATAACAAAGCTTCTTCTCTCTTCAAGAACTCTGATTTTGGGATTTCAGATTACTCCTATAAACACTTTAAATTAAGGAGGCGTGATATGCAGAGCAGTTAGGTGACAAAGAGAAACCTGTGGGTTTTGTATGTGCGTATATCCATTGTGCATTGTTGATGATGAGAAGATTTGGATGCACAAAGAGAGGCATACCTTTTCAGTCCAAGGTTTCAGTTGTTTAAAAGACTTTTCCAACTCTTTTGCTAATTAACAAGTATACCTGCTGAATAATAGTATTTTTAATAAGACTCTTTCTACAGAGTTTTGAATAGTTTTTAAGAGAGCCTCAGTATCACAGATACCATATCTTTCCTGCAATAATATCTCTACATTATTTGTAATTTATTTTATGAACTTAACATATACATAAAGTATGCCTTCTATCCTAAATTGTTGAGTAGAATATCTACAGATATAGCTTGGAGAGTTACTTGGAATTACTTTTTGAAAAGCTCTTAAGGAAGGTTCTGATATATTTAATGTTCATGTCAATGTTTCTAGTCTCTAGTAACATCATGCCAGGATTACTGTATTCCCACTTAAGATGTTGCTGTTGTATTGGTTTTCCAGCAACTATGGCCAATGAACATGTGATAAGTTCATTGAGAATATCTATGTAAAGTTCTGGATTAGTTCCTAAGATTTGCAGTTTTGAGTCTATCACTTTTTGGAAATTTACTTATTGTTTATATGCTATATGTTTCCAAATAGAACAAGAATAAGGAAGAAAAGATTAATAATGTGTATTTGAGATTTGGTAAATAGAAATTGTTAATAATGGAATGGACATATTATGTAACGTAATACATAATAATACAACGGAACACAGTACAATATCTAAATAGTATCTTCAAAGATACCCAGGCCTGATTTGTGTATTAAATACAGCTTTAATATAGCTAATAAACTGTGCAATGGTTTAAGTAGTTAATACTCAAAATGGGACACATATCACTATTGCCATAATAATTCTCTTACTATCTTCCTCTGATTTAACCATCTAAAACAATCCTTAATCCTTATGCTTTCTTTTCTCCCATATTGCCATGCTGAATTATCCCATCCATCAGTGTGTACAAGATAAGAGCTATGTATTTTAACCTTTGTGGAAATACTCTGTTCCTTCCATTTTTTTTCTGATACTACATTTAGCTTTTCTATCTGTTACTCAGTTGGGCAACCTATTTGCTGGAGACACTTCAAGTCTTCATATTAGATAGATTTTTTTCAATCTGCTGTTTCTCATAGTTTTAAAATATAATATCTATCACCCTCAAATTGGATGAATTATTATTTTATAGAAAAATTGAATGGCACTATGTTATGGAAGGCTGTATTTAGAAATTCTCATAAGGTTGATTATTAAGCAAACACATCCATCCATCTGTTTATTTATCTAATTTATCTATTCACTCAATCATTCATTCAACATTGTATATGCTGTCACATATACATAATTCAAGGTGTAAATATTAAATTCTATTTCTCATGCTTTGTTTGAATAAACAAATAGTTTCTACATATTTTTTCCATTTTCATCTTTGTGAGGTTTTTAAAACAATTCTGAAGTTCTCCAATCTATTTAATTTTTTTTTCTTTAGCAAAAAGTTAGTAGAATTTCATACAAACTTGTGCATATTTTTTCCCCTTATTACTGAATATGTTACTTTGTTAAAACTATGGTAGTTCCCTTAAACATTCTGATTAATACTATATTTTAAATTTTTATATATTTTGCATAATTGGTAATCCAGAAGAATTGAAAGCAAAATGAATACTTTTGGAACCTATCATAGTGTGGTCTTAGAGGATATATTACTTAATAGGCTGCTTTCACCTGCAATCTAGCCCAATATTGTTGATGCTGAATGGCAAGGGATCCATTCTACCTTTGGGAATTCAGTTTTAATTTTAAAAATCTGTTAAAAAAATGGAAGTTTTTAGCCAACAATGGAGGAAAAATATAGTTTGTCTAATGTTCAGAACTTACCATGTGTTAAAAAAAACTTCACTTGATTAAGGCGGGATCCTTTAAAAGTTATATTAAATTAAATTTAACACAAGGAAGAAAGTGCCAGAATATTTGTGAGGCGTGCATTATAGTCTTCAATCTTAGCTCCACTGACTTAAGTTGTGGAGAGTAAACTTTAATCTGCTATTAAAGCTGTAGTTGATAGATCTCTAAATTAAATTGAATAAAACACATACTCCTAGACCTCACCGAGAAAGCAATAAATTGTGTTTGAGAGAGCAGAACTAGGAAATGACATTTAGGTAACACACAGTTCATTAGTTGTTTTTAAGTAGATGTTATTATAAGCCATCTTGATGCTGAAAGAAAATCATAAATCTGTTTGGCTGAAGATCAAAATTGAACTTATTTTCTGAGGGTGTCATAAAATATGGAAGTATATTTCAGTTGTACTGAATAGTTAGCGCTGAAGATCCAGTTGTCATCTGTGCAATATTTGGTTATTGTTAACGGAAGCTAGATATTGCTAGTAGTTAATTGGCCATACATGCAAGAACCATATTTTACAAAGGTATATATGATCTAGTGATCTGTGATTAAACCATCTTTTATCTTTAAAATAATTAATAGGAGAAATACAATGACTTTCTAGAGCTCAGTCTCATAGGTAAGACATTGTACTTTTCACAGTATTATTTCATTGATTTTCAATCTTCTCAAAACTATTTGTCATATTGGAGAAAAACTGGATAGCCATATACTTTTCACTATGAACAAATGATAGTAGGGAGCAATACATTTAAACAGTGTTTTGGTTTCAGTATAATTCACTGTCATTTCTTTAGATATCATTGTTCCTATTGATTTAAAAATTGCAGGTGTCCATCCTCCAGAATTACCTGTATATACTATATCTCCATGCACTTGGAGAAGTAGCATGGATACCATTCCTGCTATCTACATAGAAAACATATCGATAAGGATTACAAAAGGCAGTGGACTGTAGTACTTACCATGAAATAAAGAACTATAAAAAACATATAAAGCCTAGTGAATAGACAACATTTACGGTTAATGTAAGTTCTGTGGAACAAGGCATCTTCTCATTGAAATGGAAAATGCCTCTAGGTTTTTCAAAAAATGGAGTTCTTTTGGGGTGTGATTAATTTGTTTTTTCTTTGGTTACAGGAATATATTTGCATGTGTAACACTGGATGTATTCACCACTTTCTCTACTTTGGAATATGAAGCCTAACTTCAGCATCTCAACATTTGTTGTGGTAGCAGCAGTTTTGTGCTGCTTGATGTCATCAACAGAGGCAGATAGTAAGTAATTTCCTGATGGAAGCATATTATAATTAGGATCATTGTAAGATTGTTTCATAAAAAGCTAGCTTTCAAATGATAGAATGTAAAAGTAAATCATCAATTTTTACTCTGTATGATGCTAGCAAACAAATCATAAACTTACCATAAGTGTATTGAATTTTTCATTGCCTTTCATTACAAAATTTCAGTCAGTGTGCATGGATACCAGGACAATTCTTGATTACATATTTTGTCCAATATTAATTTTTCATTCCTTTAATGTTAATGTTGCTTCTTTTCTTGTAATGTTATAAATTTTTGACATGCAGAATATCCTTGTCTCTTATATAGTTTTAATGCTCCCACTAGGGTTCACCGACTTTGAGAAAATAAATAAATAAATAAATATATGCATATTTTAATACCGTGTTTCTCACAAAATAAGGCCGGGCCTTATTTTTTTTTGAGCCCTGAAAAAATGGCTAGGACGTCTTCTCGGGGGTGAATTAATTTCTTCCTCCCCCGCGCACCAGCGCCGTCTCCAACAACAGTGTCTTAGTCGCTCCCGCTTTTCGCCCATCCCCGTAACAACAGGAAAAAAAAACATTTTGAGGCACCTGGGAGCGCCAGGCACTGCGTTCTGGTTTAATCCCGAGTGGCTGGGTGGGTGTGAGAAGAGCTGAGCGAGCGTCTCTGCTGCTGCTATCCTTGGTGCTTCAGCCTTGGGCTCTGCAAGTTTCCAAAAGTCCCAGTGCAGCAGCCCATTCCTGCATTCCAAGCACCCAGGCCGAGCTGCAGCTGTCCCTCTCTTGCCAGCACCGTCTCCAATAACAACGGCAGTAGCGGCGAGAACCGTGGAAGTTACGGAGGCGGCTCCCCCACCCAAAAAGTGGCTGAAACGCTTCCACTGTTCCCCCCACTGCTGCCGCTGTTATTGGAGATGGTGCTGGCGAGAGAGGGACAGCTGCAGCTCGTCCTGGGTGCTTGGAATGCAGGAATGGGCTGCTGCACCGGCACTTTTGCAAACTTGCAGAGCCCGAAGCTGGAGTATCAAGGGTAGCAGCAGCAGAGACGCCCACCCAGCCGCTAGGGATTAAACCAAAACCAAAACACAGTGCGCAGCACTCCCAGGTACCTCAAAATGTTTTTCTTCCCTGTTGTTACGGGGACGGGGGAAAAGTGGGAGCAACTCAGATGCTGTTGGAGACGGCACTGGCGAGAGAGGCGCCAGCACCGGTGGGAGCTATGGAGGCCTGAGAAGCGGCTGAAACGCTGCCGGACATGCACGCCGATGCCGCCCGTCTGGTGACCCGGGTAAGGGAGCCCTCCATGTTCCACCATGGTGTTAGGAGCGGCTGATGGTGAGGTGTAGCTGCCCACGGGGCACTCCTAATGGCAAGTTCCCCCCCC